GGTCCTAGGTTCTGGGATACCTGGGATGCTGCCCATTCTGGGTTTGCTGTCCCCCAGCTGGACCAGGTCCAGGCCCATCTTCCTGTGGGTGTGTCCTCTGGTTCTCACTACTCACCTCCAGTATAGGTTTCCCCTGTGTATCTGTCCTGTGCATCTTTCTCTGTGGTTTCTCATCCTGTGTGTGTATTTATGTGTGCCTTTGTTCCCCGATGTGGGTAAACACTCTTGGCCTTGATGTCAGAGGACTCCAGGCAAGCCCTCTACCTCCAGGGCCTGTTTGTGCATCTCTAAAATAAGGATATTAATTTTTAATCACATGGAGTTGTTTGGGGATGGAATGAGACCCCGGGCATGGAACTGGAGCAGAGTGCCTGGCACCCATAGGAGCTGTGCAGAGTCTCTTCCAGCTGGCTGGGCTTTTCTTTCAGTGTGGAACAGCCCCTTCCTCTTCCAAGTTCTGTGAGTGAGAATGAGAGTAGGGTGCCCTTCTGGGTGTATCTCTCTTTTCTTTGAATATCCAAACCCTTGGTCCTGGTTTTTAGTGTTTGGGGTTTTCCCTCTGGTGGTGCTCTCTGCCTCTGGTGGAGAATCGTTTCATTCTCCTCGGCATGGGGCATGGGGACTGCTGCTCCCTGGCCTTTGTACTCGGTGGGTCGGCTCTCTCGAGTGTGCGTGTGCGTGTGTGTGCATGCCGCTGTGCTGGGTGGGCAGTTTCATTGCTATTAGTGCCCTCTTCATTGTGAGAGTGCTTCTCCCTCGAAATGTCACTTCTTGTGTCCAGCCCGTGCTGGGTGTATGTGTGAACTTGTGCTTCTCTGGTGTGTATCTGGTCTTCAGGTTTGGGACATGGGGGCATCGAGGCCCAGGGCTGTCTCTCCAGGTGCGTGTGTCAGTTCCTGTCATCTTCACACTGATGCTAGTTGCAAGCCCGGCTCTGACTGCTGCAGCAACCAGGCTGGGCCCCTCCCTGGCTGTCTTCCCTTTGGTTTGGGAAGAAGGGGCTCTGTTCCCTGGGGAGAGTGGGTGAGGGTGCTCCTCTGGAGCTCACATCTGGTGGAAACCCTCTGCCCAGGGCAAGGAGTCTTCTTCCCGGGTTTGTCCAGGTGTCGCCCCCAATTTACAGGTGGCACAGGCAGAGCCCTGCTGCTCTGCACATCCTCTTTGAGTTTATTTTAAACTTACTTATTTTATTTTTTAAGTTTTTTAAAAAATATGTTTTCATTGATTTTTAGAGAGGGGAAGGGAGAGGGAGAGAAAGAGGAACATCAATGATGAGAGAGTCATTGATTGACTGCCTCCTACATGCCCCTTATTGGGGATCGGGCTCAAAACTCGGGCATGTGCCCTGACTGGTAATCCAACAGATTGGTTCCTGGGTCGACGCTTAACCACTGAGCCACCTGGCCCAGGCCTCTTTGAGGTTTTGAATGGACAGGACAGCCTTGTTCTTGCTGCTTCTGGCCTGAATTACACTCTGTGCCGCCTGTCCCACAGTCTTAGACCTGTGTCCTCTCAGTCTTGCAGCTGGAGTGGGCTGACCATCTCACTCCTTCTCTGCCCTCCAAGCAGCCCTCTGCCTTAGAGGGTCTCTACTTCAGCCCTGCTTGTCCCTTCACTGAGGACACTGTGATACAGTATCGCGTGGAGCATGGGTGGGCAGCCAGGAGGTCCTGGGCTCTAGGGCCCCAAAACTCCCCAATTCTCACCTCTGGACCTCACCTTCCCTATGTGTAAGTAACAGGCAGCGCCATGACCTTTCTGTAGTGGCAGAAATGTTTACTGTCTGTGCTCTCCAGTATGGTATCCACGTGTGGCTGTTGAGCTCTTGAAATGTGGCCAATGCAACCAGTGAACTAAATTAAAAAAAATTTTTTTTTGGTAATCCTCACCCAAGGATTTTTTTTACTGATTTTTTTTTTTTAGAGAGAGAGAAAAACATCGATTCGAGAGAAACATCGATTGGTTGCTTCTTGTTCACGCCCTAACCCAAGATGGAACCCGAAACCTAGGCATGTGCCCTGACTGGGAATCGAACGCACAACCCTTTGGTGCACAGGACGACACACCAACCAACTGAGCCACCCAGCCATGGCCAGTGAACTAAATTTTAAATTTAGTTACTTTAAATTTAAATAGCCACATGTGGCTACCATGTTGGATGGCACGGCTCCAAAGGCTTATGACATTTGGCTGGATGTACAGAAATCTCATAGTGCCAAAGGCTCTGCTTTGGGTGGCCTGGCTTCCCTTGGCTTGTGTGGGAGGAGGAACGACCAGCTGGGCTTGGTACAAGCTCCAGGGGTGGGAGAGACTGGGGTTGGGCCCAAAAGCAGAGAATAGGTCCTGGCCACCGGTGGCCTTGAAGCCCCTGTCAGCACCCCTATGTCCAGCCATCTGCATGGCCCAGATCAGATGAGAGGGTAGGAGAGTCCTTCCTGGCTGTGCCAGGAGGCAGCTGAGCCAGAACAGGCAGGGTGGTTGGCAGCTCTACCTGGCCAGGAAGCCAGCAGGTGCTCTGCCAAGGCCAACCTGTGGCCTCGGGTCCAGTGCCTCCCCTTCTCATGGCATGTGGACCCTTCTCTACTCTGGATGGCCTTTTCCCCTCCTCAGCAGCCTGGATCCAGGCATGTAGCAAGTCTCTCGTGAGCCTCCTAGCTGTGTTTCTAGGGACTCCATCCCTAGGGCTCCATCTGGTTTGAGGCTCCATTGGAGGAGCTGGCAGGGAAGTTGACTGCGTGTGTGCACTGGAGCCCCAGCCCCTCCGACACCGGGGCTCTGGCCCCCGAAACACTTTGTTGATTGGTTTTTAGGTGTGACCCTTAGCATGCTTGGAGCCGTTGTGGCTGCAGTGACTCATTGGGGAAGGAGGGAGGGTGGGGCCGAGATGTGGGCGAGGGTGAGCTTGCTCTCCCCCCTCGCTGCTGCTGGCTTAGCACCAGGCTGCTAGGCTAAGAAATGGGGCCCCCTCAAGGAGGAAGACGGGTGCCAGGCGATCGGTGGTTTCAGAGATCTGAGAAGCCCTCTGGGCTTCTCTGCCTTTTGCTTCCCTGCCCTGCCTGGCGCTCGCCCGCAGGGCTGGCTTCTCAGCGCTGGATGCTGGGGAGGTGCAGCTTAAGTTCCGGCTCTGCTGTCTCACGTGGGGAAGGGTCAGGATGACTTCTCTGGCTCCTCTGCCTGGCAGGAAAGGAGGGGGCGTAGCCCCAGCTCACACCCATGCCAACAGCTGCTCGCCCTGCACAGTCTGCTCCTAGCCACATACGCAGGTGTGAGTTCAGGTGGTGGGGGCACTTCGGGGTCCGTGTGGTTGTCTTCCCCCGGGTTGTGATCTGCCTGCCATTGGAACTGCTAAGTTCCCATGAGTGCTCAAGAATAATCCCATTTCTCAGAGGCAAACTCTAGCACCTTCAAGACCCCCATTTATATTTCATAGCCCCCCAAAATCTCCCAAGCCTTCTGGAACATTCTGAGGCGAAAATGATCACACCCTGAGCACCTTACTCATAATTTATTTCTGGGACAGAAACCAAGTCTTCTAAGTCTCCCTGTCTGGCACGTGGAGTGCATTCAGTAAATATTAGAGGGTCAAGAGAGAAGTCGGGTGACAGTCTGGTGCGGCGTTTAATTGGGTGCTGAGCGGAGCTGGGTCTGGCCCCCGCTTATTGGCTCTGCAGGGTCCAGTACACTGGGACATACAGGAGGTGGCCAGAGTGCACACTTATCAATTGGCTGACTAATGTCTGCCTGTGAACAGTGTAGGGTGGAGCATTGGGCGAGGTGCTCCCTGATTTACAGTATCCCCCACAGTTTCCCAGGCGTGCTGCTGGGTGACGCGGCCTCCACCACTTTGTGTGGGTGGCTATAGGCTGTGGCCGTGTTCAGAGTCCTGACTGATGTCTTCTTGGGGTATACCTCTCCTGCTGACAGCTCATCCTGAGGCTGGAGGGCGTCCTTGCTCCCAAGTGCCAGCACCTATGGGGACCTGGCTCCGGGCCCAGTGTGGGCAGCCAGATGGGCCCTGACTCACCACGTCCCTGAGGCAGCTCAGCTGGACTCTAGCCTCTCGGGCTGGGGCCAGTGCCCCGGGGGCGGGGCCTTCCTTTGTCCAGCTGCTGCCTGTGACGGCTCGTGGAGCTCCCAGCTGGCGAGTCAGACAGGGTGACCCAGAGTCACTGTCCCCAGCATCCCTGCTTGCAGGCCTGCCAGTTGCCAGCAGTGATGGAGATCCTGAAGAGTGTCCTGAGAAGTCTTGCAGTTAAAGCTGCAGACTTGATGTGATAGGGTGTAGGGAAATAGGTACAGATCTGGGTCCCAGCCCAGGTGGTGGCTTCCTTATTGTGGACCTGGGGCAAACTGGCCTGTGAATGTCAGTCTTTCCATCTCTGAGTTGGGGATGGTAGCATCTCTGTCCTGAAGATTGGGCTGAAGCTGGTATAAAGACCCTAATGGGGGTGTGTATGTCATGAGGCTTCTGTGCATCAGAGCTTTTCACGTATGCTCTCTTAATCAGTCCTCACGGAAATCCTTTATCATCTCTGTTTTCATCGTTTTTTAAAAAAATGTTTGTATTGATTGCAGAGAGGAAGGGAGAGGGAGAGAGAGAGAAACATCAATGATGAGAGAGTCATTGATTAGCCGCCTCCTGCATGCCCCAGACTGGGGATCGAGCCCGCAACCCAGGCATGTGCCCTGACCAGGAATCAAACTGCAATCTCCTGGCTCATAGGTCTATGCTCAACTACTGAGCCACGCCAGCTGGGCTATCATCTCCATTTTCACAGATGAGGAAATGGAGGTTCAGAGAAGTGAAGTGACTTGGCCAGGGTTGCCCAGCTAGGAGGACGCAGAGCCGGGGGTTTGGCTCCTCTAACCCCCCTTTCCACGCTTCCAGGCTGGAGAGTCATGCCTGAATGGAATTGATGGCAGTAGCGAGGGCCGGGGTTTTGGTCTGGCCTGGAAACAGAACATCCAGCCGTCACTTGCGTTCTGGTTGGGGTTCAAACACGCGGTTGTTGAGTGCCCGCATCATTGTGAACTTTTTCCCTAGGCTGTGTGACCGAGATTCCCCGCGAGAGAGACCGAGGAGAGGACAGGAAGGAGGGGCGGGCTCCTGGCAAGGCATTCGCTCCTGAACTGAGTCCTGCGAAAGGTCAGTAGGAGGGAGGGTGATGAGAGAGGTGGAGGTGATGGGGTGAGGAGGGTGGAGACCCCTGGGTGGCATCGGGAAGCAGGGCTTGGGTGGGAGCAACGAGGGGCTGGTCACCTCCCAGGTGGGTTGCATCCACTGTCCACTTTCCATCTTGTCTGCTGTGCTTGAAGCTTCTCCACCGAGGAAACGGGCACCTTGGAGACGGTGCTCTGCTCCCTGGGAGTTCACCGCACCCAAGAGCCCCCGCCTTCTTGTCCCCTCGTTGCTGCGCCTGTGCCCCACTGTCTGGAGCTCATTACCTTCCCTTGTCCCAGATGGAGAAGGAGGAGGAGACAACGCGGGAGCTGCTGCTGCCCAACTGGCAGGGCAGCGGCTCCCACGGGCTGACCATTGCCCAGAGGGACGACGGCGTCTTTGTGCAGGAGGTCGTGCAGAATTCCCCTGCGGCCCGCACTGGGGTGGTCAAGGAGGGTGAGTCACCTCAGGGTGCAGGCTGGGTACTCGGATGGGGTGGGCGAGGGTGGTGGAGGGAAGGGCAGGGGGCAGGCAGAAGCGGGCACTAACGCAAGTTGGCTTGAGTGCGGCGCACGTAGTGTGTGTTGCTTCCTGAGACCTGCTTCCCGCTCCTCCCTGCACAGGGGACCAGATTGTGGGTGCCACCATCTACTTTGACAACCTGCAGTCGGGTGAGGTGACACAGCTGCTGAGTACCATGGGGCACCACACTGTGGGTCTGAAGCTGCACCGTAAGGGGGACCGCTCCCCCGAGCCCGGCCAGACCTGGACTCAAGAAGTCTTCAGTTCCCGCAGCTCTGAAGTGGTTCTGGTGAGTGCCTCGCCAGCCTGTCCACCCCTCAGCTCCCTCGGGCCGCACCGCCCTGCCGTCCTGCTGGCCCCGCTTCCAGAGCCTTCTGTCTGCCTGCAGGGCCCCTCTCGTCAATCCTCCTGATTTCACCCCTCTGCACTCTCTGTTGAGTTAGCCTGGTTGTTCCCATTCATGTGTGGCATGTGGCTGATGCTGCCCCTAGGAGTCAGTCTCTTCAGAGCACCACAGCGTGGGAAGCGACTCCTGCTATTGGGTCCCAGGTGCCAGGAGGAAGGTCTCCGCTTTGCCGGAATCTCTGAAAGGATTTCACAGGTGCCCAGCTCTGCCTTGCAGAACATTTTTCTTTTCTTTTTTAAATGTTGTTTTTTTATTTTATTTTAGAGAGAGAGGAAGGGAGTTGGAGAGAGAGGGAGAAACATCAATGAGAAAGAGAAACACTGATGAGAGAAACATCTATCGGCTGCCTCTTCTGCACCACCTACTGGGGATCGAACCTGTAACCCAGGCACGGGCCCTGACCAGGAATCAAACCAGTGCCCTCTTGGTGCATGAGAGGATGCTTAACCAACTGAGCCACACCCGCCAGGGCTCACAGAACATTTTTCTACTTCAGAGGGTTGGACTCATCTGTGAGTCAGAGGCTGGGCCACAAAGTGCTTGAGGGACATTTCCCTGTTCCTTCTGACGGCTTGTTTATGTAACAGTAATGGGTACTCAAAGGGGAAGTGTTCGCCCAAGCACAGCCCCTCTCCGCCCAGCTTTCCAGGGGTCCTTGGGAGGATTCCCCTCCTGCTTAAACAAATACACCAGGGAGTTGAAAGTTGAGCGCCTCGGGGTCAAGTCAGTGCCGAGCTGGTCGCCCGGGGGCGTCCCTGGTACTTGACTGGCCAATTTGAGTCTAGAATTGATTGTAAACCCTCCTCCCAGGTCGTGCAGTCCAGGAGGCTACACCCCTTTTCCCCCATGGCTTTTGCTTACCAGAGTTTCTCCAAATAATTGCTGTTTTCCTCCCGATGTGGTTGTCAGTCCCTTTCATCAGCCCTCTGTGCTCTGCCCCAGGAGGCTCCATGGCCCCCCGTATGGTCCCGGCTTCTCTGGGAAACAGGCTGGGCTGCAGCGGGCGTCTGTAACTCGGGCGGGCTCCGCTGCAACCTCTGCCGGGCATGTCTCTCTGCAGAGCGGGGGTGATGAGGAATACCAGCGCATCTATGCCACGAAGATCAAGCCTCGCCTGAAGTCGGAGGATGGAGTGGAAGGGGACCTTGGGGAGACCCAGAGCCGTACCATCACAGTGACTAGAAGGGTCACGGCCTACACTGTGGATGTGACAGGCCGGGAAGGAGCCAGGGACATCGACATCAGCAGTCCTGAGTTCAAGATCAAGATTCCACGGCATGAGCTGACTGAAATCTCCACTGTGGATGTGGAGACTCAGTCTGGGAAGACAGTGATCAGACTGCCCTCGGGCTCGGGGGCAGTGTCTCCAACCACAGGCTCTGCTGTGGACATTCGAGCAGGCTCCATTTCCACTTCGGGACCAGAGTTCCACGGTGCTGGCCACTCGAAGCTCCAGGTCACCGTGCCTGGGATAAAGGTGGGAAGCCCAGACATCAATGTCAGTGCAAAGGGCTTGGACTTGGGTGGCAAAGGAGGGATCCATGGTCCAGGAGTGGGCATTTCGTCTTCTCTTGGGGGTGGGGCAGTAGAGGTTCAGGGTCCATCTCTTGAGAGTGACAATAATGGGAAAATCAAAATTCCCACCATAAAGGTGCCAAAATTTGGTGTCTCAACAAGGCCTGAGGGCAAGGCACCAGGGGCAGGGTTGAGTGTTTCTGCACCTGAATTCTCTGTGGGGCACAAGGGCGGTGTGCCAGGCCTGACCATCGGTGGGAATGTCCAGACCCCTCAGCTGGAAGTCAGTGCTCCCTGTGCCAATGTTGAGGGGCTTAAGGGGAAACTGAAAGGCCCCCAAATTACTGGGCCATCATTTGAGGGAGACCTAGGCCTGAAAGGTGCCAAGCCACAGGGGAGCATAGGGGTGGACATCTCTGCTCCCAAAATCAAGGGCAACATTGCTGGCCCCAATGTGGAAGTTCAAGGCCCTGATGTTGATATTCATGGGCCTGGAGGCAAACTAAATATGCCCAAGATGAAAGTCCCCAAATTCTCTGTATCAGATTCTAAGGGAGAGGGAACTGGAATTGATGTGACACTGCCCACAGGTGATGTTACTCTTCCTGGGGTCTCTGGGGATGTCAGCCTGCCCGAGGTTGCTACTGGGGGGCTGGAAGGGAAGATGAAGGGTACTAAAGTCAAGACTCCTGAAATGATTATTCAGAAACCTAAAATTTCCATGCAGGATGTGGATCTGAGCCTTGGGTCCTCCAAACTGAGAGGAGATGTTAAGGTTCCTGCTCTGGGGGTGCAAGGTGATGTTAAAGGCCCTCAAGTGACAGTTAAAGGCTCCAAAATGGACATAGAAACACCCAGCCTAGAAGGGACACTGGCAGGACCCAAGCTGAGTGGTCCTTCTGGGAAAACAGGAACGTGCAGTATCTCTATGGCAGATGTAGACTTAAATGCAGCTGCACCTAAAGTGAAAGGAGGTGTAGATATCACACTCCCAAAAGTAGAAGGGAAAGTCAAAGTCCCTGAAGTTGATGTCAAAGGCCCCAAAGTGGATGTCAGCGCCCCAGATGTGGAAGTTCATGGCCCAGAATGGAACCTGAAAATGCCCAAGATGAAAATGCCCAAGTTCAGCATGCCTGGAGTCAAAGGGGAAGGCCCAGATATAGATGTAAGTCTACCCAAAGGAGATGTCAGTATTACAGGGCCCACGGTCAACATGGAAGCCCCAGATGTCAACATAGGGAGCCTGGGGGGCAAACTTAAAGGCCCTGATGTTAAGTTGCCTGAAGTGAGTGTCAAGACACCAAAGATCTCCATGCCTGATGTAGATCTGCATGTTAAAGGCCCCAAGGTAAAAGGAGAGTACGATGTAACGGTACCAAAACTTGAAGGGGAACTGAAAGGCCCCCAGATGGACATTAAAGCCCCAGATGTGGATGTTCATGGCCCAGACTGGCATCTGAAGATGCCCAAGATGAAAATGCCCAAATTCAGTGTGCCAGGGTTCAAGGCAGAGGGCCCAGATGTGGATGTGAACTTGCCCAGGCCTGATGTGGACATTTCTGGGCCCAAGGTAGATGTTAATGCTCCAGATGTGAGAATTGAGGGACCAGAAGGAAAATTGAAAGGACCCAAATTTAAAATGCCTGAGATGAATATCAAAGCCCCGAAGATCTCCATGCCAGATGTGGACTTGCATTTGAAAGGCCCTAGTGTGAAAGGAGAATACGATGTCACAGTGCCAAGGGTTGGTGAGATTAAAGTTCCTGATGTTGAACTTAAAAGTGCCAGAGTGGATATTGATGCTCCAGATGTGGATGTTCATGGCCCAGACTGGCATTTGAAGATGCCCCAAATGAAAATGCCCAAGTTCAGCATGCCTGGCTTCAAAGCAGAGGGCCCAGAAGTGGATGTGAACCTGCCCAAAGCTGACATTGACATCTCAGGACCCAAGGTGGATGTTGAAGTTCCAGATGTGAATATTGAAGGACCTGAAGGAAAGCTGAAGGGTCCCAAGTTTAAGATGCCTGAGATGAATATCAAGGCCCCCAAAATCTCCATGCCTGATGTAGACTTGCATATGAAAGGTCCCAAGGTAAAGGGAGAATATGATGTCACAGTGCCAAAGCTGGAAGGTGACCTGAAAGGGCCCAAAGTAGATGTCAGTGCCCCAGATGTTGAAGTTCATGGTCCTGATTGGAACCTAAAGATGCCCAAGATGAAAATGCCCAAATTTACCATGCCCAGCCTCAAAGGAGAGAGCCCAGAATTGGATGTGAACCTGCCCAAAGTTGATGTGGATGTTTCTGCACCCAAGGTAGATGTTAGTGCTCCAGATCTGAGCCTTGAAGGACCTGAAGGGAAGTTGAAAGGCCCCAAGTTTAAGATGCCTGAGATGCACTTCAAAGCTCCTAAGATGACGCTGCCAGATGTTGACCTCAATCTTAAAGGACCCAAAATGAAAGGAAATCTAGAGATGTCTGCGCCAAAAATAGAAGGCGAGATGAAAGTTCCAGACGTGGACCTCAAAGGCCCCAATGTAGACATTAAAGCACCGGATGTGGAAGTACAAGGTGGAGACTGGAGCCTGAAAATGCCCAAGATGAAAATGCCTAAATTCAGCATGCCTAGCTTCAAAGCAGAGGGCCCAGATGTGGATGTAAACCTACCCAAGGCTGACATTGACATCTCTGGACCCAAGGTTGACATTGAAGCTCCAGATGTGAGCCTTGAGGGACCAGAAGGGAAGTTGAAGGGCCCCAAGTTTAAAATGCCTGAGATGCACTTCAAGGCACCCAAGATTTCCATGCCTGATGTGGACTTAAACTTGAAAGGACCCAAAGTCAAAGGGGATGTTGATGTGTCAGTGCCTAAGATAGAAGGTGAAATGAAAGTGCCAGATGTTGACCTCAAAGGACCCAAAGTGGACATTGATGTTCCAGATGTGGATGTTCATGGCCCAGACTGGCACTTGAAAATGCCCAAGATGAAAATGCCCAAGTTCAGCATGCCTGGCTTCAAAGGAGAGGGCCCAGAAATGGATGTTAACTTGCCAAAGGCTGACTTTGAAGTCTCAGGACCCAAGGTGGATGTTGAAGTTCCAGATGTGAATATTGAAGGTCCAGATGCAAAACTAAAAGGTCCTAAATTTAAGATGCCAGAAATGAATATAAAACCTCAGAAGATACCAATGCCAGATGTTGGTTTGCATTTGAAAGCCCCTAAAATGAAAGGAGATTATGATGTGACAGTACCAAAAGTAGAAGGAGAGATACAAGCTCCTGATGTCAACATTAAAGGTCCCAAAGTGGACATTAATGCACCAGATGTGGGAGCTCATGGCCCAGACTGGCACCTGAAGATGCCCAAGGTGAAAATGCCCAAGTTCAGCATGCCTGGCTTCAAAGGAGAGGGCCCAGAGGTGGATGTGAACCTGCCCAAAGCTGACATTAATGTCTCTGGACCCAAGTTGGACATTAATGCTCCAGATGTGACTCTTGAAGGTCCAGAGGGGAAACTAAAGGGTCCCAAGTTCAAGATGCCAAGCATGAATATACAGACACACAAAATTTCTATGCCTGATGTTGGACTTAATCTGAAAGCCCCTAAACTGAAAACTGATGTAGATGTTTCCCTTCCTAAAGTGGAAGGAGACTTGAAAGGTCCTGAAATAGATGTGAAAGCCCCTAAGGTGGATGTGGATGTTGGTGATATTGATCTCGAATGTCCTGATGCAAAGTTGAAAGGCCCCAAGTTTAAGATGCCTGAGATGCACTTCAAGACCCCCAAGATCTCCATGCCTGATGTGGACTTACACTTGAAAGGCCCCAAAATCAAAGGGGATGTGGATGTCTCTGTGCCCAAGATAGAAGGTGAAATAAAAGTGCCAGATGTTGACCTCAAAGGACCCAAAGTGGACATTGATGCCCCAGATGTGAATGTTCATGGCCCAGACTGGCACCTGAAGATGCCCAAAGTGAAAATGCCCAAGTTCAGCATGCCTGGCTTCAAAGGAGAGGGCCCAGAAATGGACGTTAACTTGCCAAAGGCTGACATTAATGTTTCTGGCCCCAAAGTGGACATTGATGCTCCTGATTTGGATATTGAGGGGCCAGAAGGAAAATTAAAAGGCTCTAAGTTTAAGATGCCTAAATTGAATATCAAACCTTCCAAGATATCCATGCCAGATGTGGACCTGAATTTGAAGGGACCCAAGCTGAAAGGAGAGATAGATGCTTCTGTACCAGAACTGGAAGGTGATCTCAGAGGTCCACAAGTTGATATCAAAGGCCCCAGCATGGATGTGGAGGTGCCTGACGTTGATCTGGAATGTCCTGATGCAAAGTTGAAAGGCCCCAAGTTTAAGATGCCTGAGATGCACTTCAAGGCTCCCAAGATCTCCATGCCTGATGTGGACTTACATTTGAAAGGCCCCAAAGTCAAAGGGGATGTCGATGTGTCTGTGCCAAAATTGGAAGGAGATTTGAAAGGCCCCAGCGTGAATGTGGAAGTGCCTGATGTTGATCTCGAATGTCCTGATGCAAAGTTGAAAGGCCCTAAGTTTAAGATGCCTGAGATGCACTTCAAGACCCCTAAGATCTCCATGCCTGATGTGGACTTAAACTTGAAAGGACCCAAAGTCAAAGGGGATGTTGATATGTCTGTGCCTAAGATTGAAGGTGAAATGAAAGTGCCAGATGTTGACCTCAAAGGACCCAAAGTGGACATTGATGTTCCAGATGTGGATGTTCATGGCCCAGACTGGCACTTGAAAATGCCCAAGATGAAAATGCCCAAGTTCAGCATGCCCGGCTTCAGAGCTGAGGGCCCAGAAGTGGATGTGAACTTGCCCAAGGCTGACATTGACATCTCTGGACCCAAGGTTGATATTGAAGCCCCAGATGTCAGCCTTGAGGGACCAGAAGGGAAGCTGAAGGGCCCCAAGTTTAAAATGCCTGAGATGCATTTCAAGGCTCCCAAGATCTCCATGCCTGATGTAGACTTACACTTGAAAGGTCCCAAAGTCAAAGGGGATGTCGATGTGTCTGTGCCAAAATTGGAAGGAGATTTGAAAGGCCCCAGCGTGAATGTGGAAGTGCCTGATGTTGATCTCGAATGTCCTGATGCAAAGTTGAAAGGCCCCAAGTTTAAGATGCCTGAGATGCACTTCAAGACCCCGAAGATCTCCATGCCTGATGTGGACTTAAACTTGAAAGGACCCAAAGTCAAAGGGGATGTTGATGTGTCTTTGCCCAAGATTGAAGGTGAAATGAAAGTGCCAGATGTGGACATCAAAGGACCCAATGTGGACATTAATGTTCCAGATGTGGATGTTCATGGCCCAGACTGGCACTTGAAAATGCCCAAGATGAAAATGCCGAAGTTCAGCATGCCAGGCTTCAAAGGAGAGGGCCCAGAAGTGGATGTGAACCTGCCCAAGGCTGACATTGACATCTCTGGACCCAAGGTTGACATTGAAGCCCCAGATGTGAGCCTTGAGGGTCCAGAAGGAAAACTGAAAGGCCCTAAGTTCAAGATGCCTGAAATGCACTTTCATGCACCCAAAATCTCCATGCCTGATGTTGACTTCAACTTAAAGGGGCCTAAAGTGAAAGGAGACTTTGATGTTTCTGCCCCAAAGTTGGAAGGAGAGTTAAAGGGTCCAGAATTGGATGTTGACGTGCCACACGTAGCTGTGGAAGGCCCAGATGCCAAATGGAAAAGTCCTAAATTCAAGATGCCAGACATGCATTTTAAAGCTCCCAAAATCTCCATGCCAGACATTAATCTACACTTAAAAAGCCCCAAGATCAAGGGAGAGGTGGATGTAGATGTTCCCAAATTGGAAGGTGACCTTAAAGCTGACATAAGTGGGCCAGATATCAACATTGAAGGACCAGAGGGCAAATTGAAAGGCCCCAAGTTCAAGATGCCTGACATGCATTTCAAAGCCCCAAATATTTCTATGCCTGATGTGGACCTAAATCTGAAAGGACCGAAAATCAAAGGGGATGTTGATGTGCCTGTGCCTGAGGTAGAAGGTAAAGTTAAAGTACCAGATGTGAACATCAAAGGCCCCAAAGTAGACATAAGTGCTCCTGAAGTTCATGGCCCAGACTGGCACCTGAAGATGCCCAAGATGAAAATGCCCAAGTTCAGCATGCCAGGCTTCAAAGGAGAGGGCCCAGAAGTGGATGTGAACCTGCCCAAAACTGACATCGATGTCTCAGGACCCAAAATTGACGTTGAAGCCCCAGATGTGAACATTGAGGGTCCAGAGGGAAAAATCAAGGGGCCTAAATTTAAGATGCCAGAGATGAACATCAAAGCCCCAAAGATTTCCATGCCAGATGTAGATTTACATTTGAAAGGTCCTAAGGTCAAAGGAGATGTAGACATTTCCCTGCCTAAGGTGGAAGGTGACCTAAAGGGTCCCAAAGTGGACATTGATGCCCCAGATGTGGATGTGCAAGGCCCAGACTGGCACCTGAAGATGCCCAAGATGAAAATGCCCAAGTTCAGCATGCCTGGCTTCAAAGCAGAGGGCCCAGAAGTGGATGTGAACTTGCCCAAGGCTGATATTGACATCTCTGGACCCAAGGTTGACATTGAAGCCCCAGATGTGAACATTGAGGGTCCAGAAGGAAAACTGAAAGGCCCTAAGTTCAAGATGCCTGAAATGCACTTTCATGCCCCTAAGATCTCCATGCCTGACTTTGATTTGCATCTGAAAGGTCCCAAAGTAAAGGGTGATGTGGACCTTTCTCTGCCTAAAGTTGAAGGCCCTGAAGTGGACATCAAGGGCCCCAAGGTGGACATTGATGCACCAGATGTGGATGTTCAAGGCCCAGATTGGCATCTGAAGATGCCTAAGATAAAAATGCCCAAGATCAGCATGCCAGGCTTCAAAGGAGAAGGCCCAGAAGTGGATGTGAACCTGCCCAAAGCTGACATCGATGTCTCAGGACCCAAAGTGGACCTTGAATGTCCTGATGTGAATATTGAAGGACCTGAAGGCAAGTGGAAAAGTCCAAAGTTTAAGATGCCTGAAATGCATTTTAAGACACCAAAGATATCCATGCCAGATATTGATCTTAATCTAACAGGACCAAAAATAAAAGGAGATATGGATGTCACAGGTCCCAAGGTAGAGGGAGATCTGAAAGGTCCTGAAGTTGACCTCAAAGGCCCAAAAGTGGACATTGATGTTCCAGATGTAGACGTTCATGGCCCAGACTGGCACTTGAAGATGCCTAAGATGAAAATGCCCAAGTTCAGCATGCCTGGCTTCAAAGCAGAGGGCCCAGAAGTGGATGTGAACCTCCCCAAGGCAGACATTGATGTTTCTGGACCCAAGCTAGACATTGAGGGCCCTGATGTTAATATTGAAGGACCAGAAGGAAAATTGAAAGGTGCTAAGTTTAAGATGCCGGAGATGAACATCAAAGCCCCCAAAGTCTCCATGCCTGACTTTGACTTGCATCTGAAAGGTCCCAAAGTAAAGGGTGATGTTGATGTTTCTCTGCCTAAAGTTGAAGGCCCTGAAGTTGACATCAAGGGCCCCAAAGTGGACATTGATGTCCCAGATGTGGATGTTCATGGCCCAGACTGGCATCTGAAGATGCCCAAAGTGAAAATGCCCAAATTTAGCATGCCAGGCTTCAAAGGAGAGGGCCCAGAAGTGGATGTGAACCTGCCTAAGGCTGACATCAATGTCTCAGGGCCCAAAGTGGACATTGAAGGCCCTGATGTTAGCATTGAAGGACCTGAGGGAAAGTTGAAAGGTCCTAAGTTTAAGATGCCAGAGATGAACATCAAAGCCCCCAAGATCTCCATGCCTGACATTGATCTTAACCTGAAAGGCCCCAAAGTGAAGGGTGATGTGGATGTGTCTTTACCGAAAGTGGAAGGTGAGATTAAAGTTCCTGAAGTGGACATTAAAGGCCCCAAAGTGGACATTGATGTCCCAGATGTGGACGTTCATGGTCCAGATTGGCACCTTAAGATGCCCAAGGTGAAAATGCCCAAGTTTGGCATGCCAGGCTTCAAAGGAGAGGGCCCTGAAGTGGATGTGAACCTGCCCAAAGCTGATTTTGATGTCTCAGGACCCAAGGTGGACATTGATGTTCCAGATGTGAATATTGAAGGCCCAGATGCAAAACTGAAGGGCCCCAAGTTCAAGATGCCAGAGATGCACATCAAAGCTCCTAAGATATCAATGCCAGATTTAGACCTTAATCTTAAAGGCCCTAAAATGAAAGGAGAGGTGGATGTTTCACTTCCAAATGTAGAAGGTGATTTGAAAGGACCTACTCTTGACATCAAGGGCCCGAAGATAGATTTGGATGCTCCAGATGTTGACATTCATGGTCCAGAAGGCAAATTAAAAGGTCCCAAACTGAAGATGCCTGACATGCATGTAAACATGCCCAAGATCTCTATGCCAGAAATTGACCTGAATTTGAAAGGCTCAAAGCTTAAGGGAGATGTTGATGTTTCTGGGCCCAAATTGGAAGGTGACCTTAAAACTCCAAAGTTGGATGTAAAGGGCCCAGAAGTGGACATTTCCGGTCCTAAGCTCAATATTGAAGGCAAGTCAAAGAAATCTCGTTTTAAGCTTCCCAAATTTAATTTTTCGGGCTCCAAAGTTCAGACACCTGAGGTGGATGTCAAAGTTAAAAAGCCAGATATTGATGTAACAGGACCAAAAGTTGATATCAGCGCTCCTGATGTTGAAGTCCAAGGAAAAGGAAAAGGATCCAAATTCAAGATGCCTTTCCTGAATATTTCATCTCCGAAAGTTTCTATGCCTGATGTTGAGTTAAATCTGAAAGGTCCTAAAGTCAAAGGAGACTTAAATGTTGCAGGTCCTAATTTAGAAGGTGACTTTAAAGGACCTCAAGTGGATATTAAGGCACCAGAAGTCCATCTTGATGCACCTGATGTGGATGTTCAAGGTCCGGACTGGAATTTGAAAATGCCCAAGATGAAAATGCCCAAGTTTGGTGTGTCTGGCTTAAAAGCAGAAGGGCCAGATATATCTGTGGATCTGCCAAAAGGAGACATCAACATAGAGGCTCCCAAAATAGATATCGAGGGCCCAGAAATCAATGTGGAAGGTCTAGAAGGAGGCTTAAAAGGTCCCAAACTCAAGATGCCTGACATGAATATTAAAGCTCCCAAGATCTCCATGCCTGACATTGATTTAAACCTGAAGGGCCCCAAGGTAAAAGGTGATGTGGATGTTTCTCTACCCAAAATGGAAGGAGATCTGAAAGGTCCAGGGATTGATATCAAAGGGCCCAAAGTGGACATTGATGCCCCAGATGTGGATGTTCATGGCCCAGACTGGCACCTGAAGATGCCCAAGGTGAAAATGCCCAAATTCAGCATGCCTGGCTTCAAAGGAGAGGGACCAGAAGTGGATGTAAACCTGCCCAAGGCCGACATTGATGTTCCAGATGTGAGTATCGAAGGCCCAGATGCGAAACTGAAGGGCCCCAAATTCAAGATGCCTGAGATGAACATCAAAGCTCCCAAAATCTCCATGCCTGACATTGATCTGAACCTGAAGGGTCCCAAAATGAAGGGTGATGTGGATGTGTCTTTGCCAAAAGTGGAAGGTGACCTAAAGGGCCCTGAAGTGGATATCAAGGGCCCCAAAGTGGACATTGACACTCCTGATATTAACATTGAAGGCCCAGAGGGGAAATTGAAGGGGCCCAAATTCAAGATGCCAGAGATGCACCTAAAGGCTCCCAAGATCTCCATGCCTGACATTGATTTAAACTTGAAAGGGCCCAAGGTGAAGGGTGATATGGACGTTTCTCTTCCCAAGATTGAAGGGGACCTGAAAGGCCCTGAGATTGATATCAAAGGTCCAAAAGTGGACATTAATGCCCCTGATGTGGATGTCCATGGCCCAGACTGGCACCTGAAGATGCCCAAGGTGAAAATGCCAAAATTCAGCATGCCTGGTTTCAAAGGAGAGGGCCCAGAAGTGGATGTGAACCTGCCCAAGGCTGACATTGATGTCTCAACACCCAAAGTGGACATTGAAGGCCCTGATATTAATATCGAAGGACCTGAGGGGAAGTTGAAAGGTCCTAAGTTCAAAATGCCAGAGATGAACATCAAAGCCCCCAAGATCTCCATGCCTGACTTTGATTTGCATCTGAAAGGTCCTAAGGTCAAAGGAGATGTGGATGTTTCCCTGCCTAAGGTGGAAGGTGACCTGAAATGCCCTGAAGTTGACATAAAGGGCCCCAAAGTGGACATTAATGCACCAGATGTGGATGTTCAAGGCCCAGACTGGCATCTGAAGATGCCCAAGGTGAAAATGCCCAAGTTCAGCATGCCAGGCTTCAAAGGAGAGGGCCCAGAAGTTGATGTGAACCTGCCCAAGGCTGACATTGATGTCTCAGCACCCAAAGTAGATGTTGACATTCCAGATGTCAATATTGAAGGTCCGGATGCAAAACTGAAGGGCCCCAAGTTCAAGATGCCCGAGATGAACATCAAAGCCCCCAAGATCTCCATGCCTGACTTTGATTTGCACCTGAAAAGTCCTAAGGTGAAAGGTGATGTGGATGTTTCTCTGCCTACGGTGGAAGGTGACTTAAAGGCCCCTGAAGTTGACATCAAAGGCCCCAAAGTGGATATCGATGTCCCAGATGTGGATGTTCATGGCCCAGACTGGCACCTGAAGATGCCCAAAGTGAAAATGCCCAAGTTCAGCATGCCTGGCTTCAAAGGAGAGGGCCCAGAAGTAGATGTGCACCTGCCCAAGGCTGACATCGATGTCTCAGGACCCAAGGTGGACATAGACACTCCTGACATTGACATTCATGGCCCAGAAGGAAAACTGAAGGGCCCCAAGTTCAAAATGCCTGACCTGCACCTCAAAGCACCCAAGATCTCCATGCCTGAAGTCGACCTGAATCTGAAGGGTCCTAAAGTAAAGGGCGATGTGGACATTTCTCTGCCCAAAGTGGAAGGTGACCTCAAGGGCCCTGAAGTTGACATCAAAGGCCCTAAAGTAGACATTGATGTCCCAGATGTGGATGTTCATGGCCCAGACTGGCACCTGAAGATGCCCAAAGTGAAAATGCCCAAGTTCAGCATGCCTGGCTTCAAAGGAGAGGGCCCAGAAGTAGATGTGCACCTGCCCAAGGCTGACATCGATGTCTCAGGACCCAAGGTGGACATAGACACTCCTGACATTGACATTCATGGCCCAGAAGGAAAACTGAAGGGCCCCAAGTTCAAAATGCCTGACCTGCACCTCAAAGCACCCAAGATCTCCATGCCTGAAGTCGACCTGAATCTGAAGGGTCCTAAAGTAAAGGGCGATGTGGACATTTCTCTGCCCAAAGTGGAAGGTGACCTCAAGGGCCCTGAAGTTGACATCAAAGGCCCTAAAGTGGACATTGACGTCCCAGATGTGGATGTTCATGGCCCAGACTGGCACCTGAAGATGCCCAAGGTGAAAATGCCTAAGTTCAGCATGCCTGGCTTCAAAGGAGAGGGCCCTGAAGTGGATGTGAACCTGCCCAAGGCTGACATTGATGTTCCAGATGTGAGTATCGAGGGCCCAGATGCGAAACTGAAGGGCCCCAAATTCAAGATGCCTGAGATGAACATCAAAGCTCCTAAGATCTCCATGCCTGACATTGACTTAAACCTNCGAAGGCCCAGATGCAAAACTGAAGGGCCCCAAGTTCAAGATGCCCGAGATGAACATCAAAGCTCCCAAGATTTCCATGCCTGNTAAGATCTCCATGCCTGACATTGACTTAAACCTGAAAGGTCCCAAAATGAAGGGTGATGTGGATGTTTCCCTGCCTAAGGTGGAAGGTGACCTCAAGGGCCCTGAAGTTGACATCAAAGGCCCTAAAGTAGACATTGATGTCCCAGATGTGGATGTTCATGGCCCAGACTGGCACCTGAAGATGCCCAAGGTGAAAATGCCTAAGTTCAGCATGCCTGGCTTCAAAGGAGAGGGCCCAGAAGTGGATGTGAACCTGCCCAAGGCTGACTTTGATGTCTCAGGACCTAAGGTGGACATTGATGTTCCAGATGTGAATATCGAAGGCCCAGATGCAAAACTGAAGGGCCCCAAGTTCAAGATGCCCGAGATGAACATCAAAGCTCCCAAGATTTCCATGCCTGATCTTGACCTGAACCTGAAGGGCCCCAAAGTGAAGGGTGACGTGGATGTTTCCCTGCCTAAGGTGGAAGGTGACCTCAAAGGCCCCGGAATTGATATCAAAGGGCCTAAAGTGGACATTGATGCCCCTGATGTGGATGTTCATGGCCCAGACTGGCACCTGAAGATGCCCAAGGTGAAAATGCCCAAGTTCAGCATGCCTGGCTTCAAAGGAGAGGGCCCAGATGTAGATGTGAACTTGCCCAAGGTTGACTTTGATGTCTCAGGACCTAAGGTGGACATTGATGTTCCAGATGTGAATATTGAAGGTCCAGATGCAAAACTGAAAGGTCCCAAGTTCAAGATGCCTGAGATAAATATCAAAGCTCCCAAAATCTCCATGCCTGATGTTGACCTAGATTTGAAAGGACCCAAAGTCAAAGGAGATTTTGATGTGTCTGTCCCTAAGATTGAAGGCACTTTCAAAGGCCCAGAAGTTGATTTTAAAGGTCCAGGTCTGGATTTTGAAGGCCCTGATGCCAAACTCAGTGGCCCAAATTTGAAGATGCCATCACTGGACATATCTGCCCCTAAAGTAACTGTTCCTGATGTCGATTTGCATCTCAAGGCACCCAAAGTCGGAATTTCTGGTCCCAAATTAGAAGGCGGTGAACTGGACCTTAAGGGGCCTAAAGTTGATTTAGAAATTCCAAACTTAGATGTACATATGGAGAGCCCAGATGTTAACATTGAGGGGCCAGATGTTAAAATTCCAAAATTTAAGAAACCCAAGTTTGGATTTGGGGCAAAAAGCCCCAAAGCTGACTTCAAGTCACCTTCGGTTGATGTGACTGTTCCTGAGGCAGAGCTGAACATTGAGACTCCCGAAATTAGTGTTGGTGGCAAGGGCAAGAAAAGTAAGTTTAAAATGCCTAAAATTCACATGAGTGGTCCTAAAATTAAAACCAAAAAACAAGGATTCGATTTGAATGTTCCTGGGGGCGAAATTGATGCCAGTCTCAAGACTCCTGATGTAGATGTCAACGTTGTGGGGCCAGATGCCACACTTAAAGTCGATGTGAAATCTCCTAAAACCAAGAAACCTATGTTTGGAAAAATGTACTTCCCTGATGTTGAATTTGACATTAAATCACCTAAATTTAAAGCTGAGGCCTCCCTCCCTACCCCCAAAATGGAGGGCGAAATCCAGGCCTGTGAACTGGATATTTCTTCACCAGGGATTAATGTGGAAGGTCCTGACATCAAGTTGAAGGCTCCCACATTCAAGGTGCCAGGTGTGGATGTCTCGGGGCCCAAAATAGAGGGGGACTTGAAAGGCCCCAGAGTGCAGGCAAACTTGGATGCACCTGACATCAACATTGAAGGCCCAGATGCTAAAGTCAAAGCACCATCCTTCGGCATTTCTGCTCCTCAGGTCTCCATCCCTGATGTGAACGTTAGCTTGAAAGGACCGAAGATAAAGGGCGATGTCCCCAGTGTGGGACTGGAAGGACCAGACATAGATCTGCAAGGTCCAGAAGCAAAAATTAAGTTCCCCAAGTTTTCGATGCCCAAAATCGGCGTCCCTGGGGTAAAAATGGAGGGTGGGGGAGCTGAGGTCCATGCCTCGCTGCCCTCACTTGAAGGAAGCTTGAGTGCACCGAATGTTAAGCTTGAAGGGCCTGATGTGTCTTTGAAGGGGCCAAAAGTAGACTTGCCTTCAGTGAACCTCTCTATGCCAAAAGTCTCTGGACCTGACTTCGACCTGAACGTGAAAGGACCAAGTATGAAGGGAGACCTGGCTGTCTCTGGTGACATCAAGTGCCCTAAGGTATTAGGTGCTCCTGATCTAAGCTTGGAGGCACCTGAAGGTGGCATTAAACTTCCCCAAATGAAGCTGCCCCACTTTGGCATCTCCACACCAGGGTCCGACTTGGACATTAACGTCAAGGGGCCACAGGTTACCGGAGAACTAAAGGGGCCAGGCATGGATGTGAATCTTGGAGGCCTCAACTTGAAAGGACCTCAGATCTCAGCACCGAATGTGGACTTGAACTTGGAAGGACCAAAAGTAAAAGGGAGCCTCGGGGGCATTGGTGAGATGAAAGGTCCCTCTGGTGGGGTAGGTCTTCCAGGCATCCATGTTCAAGGCCTAGAAGGGAACCTCCAAATGCCTGGAATTAAGGCCTCTGGATATGACATGGAGCTGCAGGGTGGGAATGTGAAACTCCCCACTGGGCACATTTCTGGCCCTGAAATCAAAGGCAACCTGAAAGGCTCAGGAATAGGTGTCCATGGGGCTGCTCCCGACATTAACGTGAAAGGACCTTCATTTAACATGGCATCTCCTGAGTCCGATTTTGGTGTCAGCTTGAAGGGTCCGAAAATCAAAGGAGGTGTGGATGTTTCGGGGGGTGTCGGTGCCCCAGATATCAGCCTGAGTGAAGGGCATATGAGTGTCAAAGGTTCTGGGGTTGAGTGGAAAGGACCCCAGGTCTCCTCTGCTCTCAACTTGGATGCACCTAGGTTTGCTGGTGGACTTCATTTCTCAGGACCAAAGGCTGAAGGAGGTGTGCAAGGAGGCCAGATTGGACTCCAGGGTCCTGGGCTGAGTGTGTCTGGGCCTCAAGGTCACTTGGAAAGCAGATCTGGAAAAGTAACATTCCCTAAGATGAAGATCCCCAAATTCACCTCTGGCCGTGAGCTGGCTGCCAGAGAAGTGGGAGTGGATATTAACTTCCCGAAAGCAGAGGCCAGCGTCCAAGCTGGTGCCGGAGAGGGCGAGTGGGAGGAGTCCGACATCAAACTTAAAAAGTCCAAAATCAAAATGCCCAAGTTCAATTTTTCCAAACCTAAAGGGAAAAGTGGTGTCACCGGCTCACCAGAAGCATCCATTTCGGGGTCCAAAGGTGACCTGAAGAGCTCGAAGGCCAGCCTGGGCTCTTTGGAAGGAGAGGCAGAGGCCGAAGCATCTTCACCCAAAGCCAAGTTCTCCTTATTTAAAAGTAAGAAGCCGCGGCACCGCTCCAATTCCTTCAGCGACGAGAGGGAGCTCTCCGCACCTTGTACCCCGACCGGGACTTTGGAGTTTGAAGGTGGGGAAGTGTCGCTAGAAGGTGGAAAAGTCAAAGGGAAGCACGGGAAGATGAAGTTTGGTACCTTTGGTGGATTAGGGTCAAAGAGCAAAGGTCATTATGAGGTGACTGGAAGTGATGATGAAGGAGGCAAGTTACAGGGGAGTGGAGTGTCCTTGGCCTCTAAGAAGTCCCGACTGTCCTCTTCTTCAAGCAACGACAGTGGGACTAAGATCGGCATCCAGCTGCCCGAGGTGGAGCTGGCCGTTTCCACAAAGAAAGAGTAGCAGCTTTTGTGTACATATATGTATAAAAATCCATCGGCCTTGGGTGGGTTTGTACATAACCCCCAAAGAGCAGCGCCCCGACAGCCTCAGCGGCAGTGCAGGGACCCGGCCTCTCCGGCGGTGCTCCGGCCGCCCTGGCCGGGGACTGACACATCGGGAGCGTCCCGGCTCCGGCTTCGGCCTCGGCCGGCCCACGTGCAGAGTCAGCAGTATTTGCCTTAAGATTTCTTTTTTATTTTGCATTGAATGCTGAGAGCTCCTGTTTACTATGCAAGCTTTTGTGTTTATTATCATTTTTACTGAACATTGTTAGTGTTGGGGTAATTGGAAACCCACTTTTTCATCGTAACGACTTTGGGGGCTTTTGTTAGTAAGGGTGGGGTGGGGTAGAAGGCAGTAGAGGGAACTAGGCCTCCGTTTCTCCTAAGGCTGGATCTACGCAAACAGCAGACCCCCAGA